GAAACTAGGCACTCAACAAATTCTGAACACTTTCAAGACAGAGTTGGGTCAAAACTTCTGGTCCAATTTTCATAAAGGTTCGTTCAGAGTTTACAAGGGCAGTTCAAAAAAGGTTTATAAAGCGTGCTACAAGCTTCCTGGAAAGTCTGAGAGTTCCTTCAGAGCATGTTGGAGCAAGGAGATATAAGGATCAGAAGTTGGATGCTTATTCTAAATTATACTGAAGCTGAACCTCTGACCCAGAATTAAGCAATGATGCAAAATCTCACATTGCATGATTTCTGATTTGATAAATCTCATCATCATTTAATGCTCACAACTACTTTTTAGTCTGTATCAGAGTTTTCTTGAAGAGATTCCCAATTACCCATGGGAGATTCTGGTTTGGTATTTCCATGGAGGCAGGTTTGTCTGCCCGATTTGAATTGATTTCTTCTCCCCAGTGCCAGCCTTTGGTGATGTGAATCTTGCAGAAATAATTATCTCCAGTGTGGTTGGTGTTGTTGATGTCACTATCTGAAACTTCTATGTTACTCGGCGAAAGAGGTAGCTTTTATCCTCAATCGAAGCCGAATTTCAAATATATTATGGATTGATTTGCCTTTATCCCCTCGTGAAGCAAGTTTTCTCTTTCCAATGAAGCAAATTTTTTCTTTTTCCGTTGGGGAAGGTATCCTGCCTCCCCAGTGTGGTGTGCATGACAGTGGCATTCATAACTCTCCCATCCTTGTTAATAGAAGGTGTTTGAGATATCCCTAGTGGAGCTTCTATCTCAAGATGCTTGTTTTCTTCTCAAGTGAAGATTTCCATCCTGGTGGTATTATCCCCAGTGAGGTTGATGTTTGACTCCCCGTGAAGTTCGATTTTTCCTAGAGAATTTCGCCCTATCAGGTTTTTTTGAAGAGATGATTGATCATCGGGCTTGCTTATTCCCTAGTGGGTCAATTTCCTTGCTTTTTCCGAAGCAATATGCATTGACGTTTGTCATTCAAAGGTCTCTCATCCTCACTAAGAGCATTGCTGAAGAGTTCCCTAATGGAGAATTCCCTATTTTTAATTATGTGAGATTTGTGATTGTATTATTACTATTTTTATTAACTAATTAATTAATTAATAATTTTAATTATGTTTAGGGACTTTAAAAACAATCCAAAAAATCTCTAATAGATTTTTTATTCTCTTTTCTTTTCTTTGTTGTATTCTTGATCCAAAACAATCCAAAATCAAAATCTAAAATCAATAAATTGAAATTGATGGAATCAGAAAAGTCAAAATTAAAATGATGGAATCACAAAAATTATTTTGGATCTGACTCTAATTTCTTCAAGCGCTCCATCTTTTTTTTTTCCAGATATGATTATTATGGTTTTCATTCTTGAAGAATTTGAGTTTGAATGCAATGAAGAAACTTGAGATCATAAATATCTATCTTTAACCGGCACAATGAATTAGAGTTTTTCTTCTAGATCTAGGAACACAATAAGAAATTTTTGCTTCTAGATTTGAGTTTTTTCTCCCGTATAAATTAGAGTTTATTTCTTCTGAATCTAGGAACACAATAAATTAGAGTTTGTATTTTTTTTCTTCTGTATTTCTAACCAGCACAACGTATGTATTGAATAAACTACGTTCCATATAAAAATCTCGAAAAAAATTGACTCTGAAAATGATTGAATTGAATAAGATGAAGACTATTAAGATGTAATTATGAATTAAAAAAATATTATTTTATTTATTAATTATTTTAACAATATTTATTAATGATTTTTATACACAATTATTATTTAATATAAAAAAAATTAATATTTTTTATGCCACATAATTAAAAATAATTTGTTATCTCAATCAGCAATGCCACATGCAAAATTGGAGGAAGCCCATGAAAATCCCAAGTGACTTTTAAAGAGACTAAAACTTTAAAAACTTGAAAGTAGAGGGATCAAAAATACATTTAAATCAAAAGTTTTAATAGTATCTTAATAATGTAAAAACACTTTCAAGACATGTTATCATAAAAATGTTGTATCTCACTAAAAAAAGAAAAAGCTTTCAAGATGTGTTATCATAAAGCTGTTGTATCTATCAGACAATTTCAGACAAAATGCAATCTAGCGGGTTAATGAACAAAAGTAGGTGAATGGCATTGCAAATCTTGATGCAGAACAAATGAAGCCAATTGAAGTTAGTTAAAGCTGTCAAATTGTTTATGAGTACTAAAATATCAAGCCCGATGTTATTAAAATGCAAATATCGTTCTTGAAAATGTGGTTCAAGCACTATAACAATATATATGCTTCATTTGTATGTCTTAGTTACTTTTGGTACAAGTTAAATTTGACCACTGGGTTTAGACTTATGAAAAGGGGTTTATAACCTTTGGTGTGGAGTATTTGGAATTTGGAAACACCACATATTTGACATAATAAAAATGACAGCTTCAAAAGGTTAATAAATCTATCCTATACAAATACAAATCAAAAACAGAGTCATACATCACCTCATTGGTACCACCAACACCAGCCTGTAGAACTACCATATCCAGCAGTGCAACAGGACAATTCGTCTCTTATATCCCTTGCCAAAGTTCAATTCAAGACTTCAGAAAATGGCAAAGCTAGCCTATAACTTGGAACTTGGAAGAACAATGTCACATTCAAAGTTCTTAAATAAGTAATCAATCAACGAAAGGCCTTCGTTTGGAATGATAGGAAAAACTCCTATAAACTAACTATATTCTTTTCTAAGGTGCAATAAAAGGATAAATACAGAGTAAATCAACAAAAGGAAAAATTCCTGTAAATCAACAAAAGGCCTTCATATGGGATGATAGAAATTTTTTCTATAAATCATCAAAAGGCCTTCGTTTGGGATGATAGAAAAAACTCCTATAAACCAACTATATTCTTTTCTAAGGTGCACTAAAAGGAAAAACACGGAATAAATCTATAAATCAACAAAAAGGCCTTCATTTGGGATGATAGGAAAAAATCCAATATACCAACTATATTCTTTTCTAAGATGCAGTAAAAGTAAAAACAGCGAGTTTCGTTAAGTCCGCTCAGTTGATAGTGGTGTAGGGACATCAATGCAGAGGCACGAGTTCGAACCCGCAACATCCCACTTGTTCAATTTTAAAAGGTGAATTTCAGCCACTAAACTACTCTACCAAAAAAAGAAAAAAACAAAGAATAAATCAACAAAAGAAAAACTCCTATAAATCAACAAAAGGCCTTCATTTGGGAAGATAGGAAAAACCCCTATAAACCAACTATATTCTTTTCATGCAGTGTAGCAGAAAAAGAAAAAATAGAAATCCAAAATTTGTTTCTTTTTTCTAGAATTTACTCCAAACAAAAAAATGCTTTTGTAATATTTTTATCAACCTTCTCCTAGGAAAGAATGCTAAGAAACAGCAAAAACCAGAACTAGAAATGAACAAGCCTCATTTGCCATGATCTTCTAGCAATAGACCTGTAAACTCAAAAAACTAGCCACTAACCAGAGGAAGAGTAATGCTAAGAATACTCCATTTAACACCTTATTTTCAATCCTCACACTCTTAAGGTTGTCAAGATCAAGATCTTATCTAAGATCAAGAGAGAATAGCAAGATCGTAAAATATAAAATTGTAGTTAAGATTGGAAGATTCTACTCAATTATTTTTGTAAGATCGAGAGGGGGTAACAAGATCAAAAAACATAAGATCGCAACAAAAATCATAAGATCCTACTAAAATGAAAAATAATAGTATATATTTAAAGTATTTTTTACATGATATATGTAAGCAGACAAGTGTATTCGTGAGAGAAAGGGACATATATGGTCAATTACTAGGATTATCAAGTCAAGTAGTTAAAAACAAACCCTACATGTGAGAAGTCTATTCTCTAAATCCTAAATCTAAAACTTCATTTCAAAAGGCGCAAATTCATCCCCACTGAACCGTAATTATTGAGCCTTGCATCTTGTCATCCTTCTCATTTTTAATGGTGGTAGTTGAAAAACGGTCAATTACAGTCGAAGTTGGCAAAAATCGCATAAAATCAATGATTTTACGAGGGTTTTTTCACAATTTGGCTACAACACACAATTCTACTTAAGATCCGGATCGTTGGGGGTGAGTGAGATCTTAAAAACTTAAGAATTTAAGATCTAGATTGAGATCTTGACAACCACGCTCTTATAGCCAAAAGTCAAATGGATCTCACTATTTCAGAAATGGGTCTAATATAAAAAGGCGCGACCCACATAATCTCACCCAATGATAGAACAAGTGTTAGGAGAAAAATTAATTTCATCCAATCAGAAGAACAAAGAATACTAGATGACAAAAGTCCTTCAGTCAATGAGCTAAACTAATACTTTTCTTAGCTTCTTCTCTTATATTACACACTCAAAATTAAATGATAGAACAAGAGTTAGGAGAAAAAATAGTGTTTCTAGCAATACCTCACAAAGAATACTAGATAACATCCATGTTTTCAACACACAATAACAGAGAATAAGAAATTAATAAAAATGAAAAAGCTCATTGTGAATAGGGTCCACAGTTTATGCATATTGAAATAACAGAGCCTATATCATCATAATTAAACACAAGTAGTAGTAACCACTAAAATAACTCAATTAAGAATTTACACAAGAGAAACAATGATAACAGAACCAGTGATTGCTTTGTCAAAATCCAAATAAACCGCAGAAACGACTAATCCTTAGGTCAATGCGAGCTAAACTAATACTTTCTCTTAAATTGACATATACACTCAAAAGTCAAGCAGAAGAATGGAAATCAAATAAAATAACATAACATAACATGTGAGAATTATATACAGTCAAAGACTAATCAACAATACTCAATTTCGTATATAAACCATAATGCACATTCATAAACCCCTAAAAACATTCATCACTGAATCCAATTTTCAAACCTAGGGTTTCAAAAAAAGACGAACCCATAAAACAAATTAGGGTAAACCATAAACTCTAAACCTAAAAGCAAGTCAAGTCCACACCTGACATTCACCGGGCAAACCAACCAATTCACCAGAAGTCGAATTCGACGAAATCCCAACCACAACTCTCCGGCACACAATCTTAAGAATCCTCGGCCTAAACCTCCACGAACCAGACCGAAACGAAGTAGAAGCGGAAATCTGCACATCAAACGGAACCGAGCCGCGAGTTCTATCGCCGTTAAGATCTCTAACAGCACCGGGTTCAAAGTAAGCATTAGCAGCGGCGAAAGTAACGTTAAGCGCCGTTTCAGATTTCGTGTCCTGCTTAAACGGCGCAAGCTCCGATTCAGCGATGTAGTTGGAGTGGTAAAAGATGGAGGAACGGAGAGCGTTATAAGTAACGGACATTTTTCTATTACCGTTACGGACGTTGAAAGAGAGGCGGAAGGTGCCGGAGAGGGATTGGTTGGAGGCGGAGAAGTTGGAGAGGGAGAGAGATGTTAAGGTGAAGTGAGGGAGGGAAGGGCGAAGGACGAGCCATGTGATGACGATGATGACGCCGAAGATGACGGCGAGGCAGATCATGGTGGCGAAGAAGGCGCGGAAGAAGGAGCGGGAGGCGTAGGGACGAGGGGGTGGTGGGGGTTGGTGGTAGTATGGAGGGGGTGCGGCGTAGGGGTATTGGGCGGCGTTGGGGTGGTTGTAAGCTGGGTAGCCGGTGGCGGGTCGGGAAGGGTCTTGCATCGTTGTATTGAGAATGAATGAGAGAAAGAAAAAGTAGTGTTTAGTAAAGAGTGTGTGTGAGGGAAAGATGAGAGAATGGAAGAAGAGGTTATTCACTTTTGAAATAAGGAATGTTGTTTTGTAGTGTGTTTCCGAATCGGAGAATTTCATGGAATACTCCTTCGGCACAATATTAAATCTTTCTTTATATAAAAATAATTAAATTGAAAATTTTGATTTTAAAATAGTAATAATTGATAATAGGATGGAATTCGAATGTAAAGAATTTATTTATTTTAAAAGATATAAATAATAACTTTTAAGTAGAAAATGTTAATTTAAAAAATTTTAAATTGTTGGATACATCATTTTCAAAATTAAAGTTCATTTATAAAAAAAATTAATTAATTTAAAAGTAATTTATTATAGATTAATTACTATACAATGTGAATTTTTTTATAAAAGTTAATCATTAATAAAAATTTTATTATCGTAGTTAACTGGTGTAAAAAATTTATACCACACCAATTAAATTCAATTTATTAACTTTTGTTAAGTCACGGATCATATTAAATAAAAAGCAAGGTTAAAATTAAAAAGTATAAAGTATGTTGCTTTAACAAATTAACTTTTGTTTAGTACTTTTTTTAAAGTTTTAATGGAAAAATGAAGGGCGATTTTTTAGTGTTCATCTCTTAAGTTAGTTTCTTCTTTCTTCTTTAGTTTTAAAGTTGTAAGGTCGTGACAAAACTAATTATTCCGTGGAAGTTTTTGGGCATCTCAGGGAGAGTTCCTCCACCATTGAACTGATTCTAAAGCTCGAAAATAAATAAAAGTGTAGGTCTTTGGAGAAGGTGTAAACAATGTTTGTGAAATTTCCCTGAGTCAATTATCAAAATCATGTGTAAAGGGAATATGTTAGCAATTGTAATTTCAGAGAAGGAGTACTAGTTGAGAGTGGAAGCTTGTAAGTATAACTTACACAATCGAGTCATATGGTCCAAAGGTTCTGAAATCTAAATTGTTATGCCTTTGGAAAATACTAATCGACAACTGCGAGACTATTTTTCTATGTAAGGGGTATTTTGAATATTCGTCCTGAACCATAGAGGATGTTAGGAGAGTTACGTCAATCACCTCATGGAATCTCAATCCTGGGTTTCTTAAGCTTTTTCCACGGAGTAGGGATTTCAATCCTTCTTATCTCAAACAATCATCAGCACATGTGTGGATCAGAATCCATGGTTTGGCTCAAGAATATTGGAGACAAAAACTTGTGCTTGTGGCTGCTAGAAGTGTTGGGATTCCTTTATGCATAGACTTTGCCTCAAACAAGGGATGTTTTGAACGACCATTAAGTCATGATGTGAGAGTTATGATGGATTTGGAATTGTCAGCAGAAAATAATACAAGGTGCTAGTGGAAAGGAAGAGATATGCCTCCTTCGTGGAATTCGAGTATGAAAATTTACCAGAATACTATACTTTTTGCAATCAGCTGGGGAATTTCTTGGAGAGTTGGATCAACACTCTCTCTGGTTGATTGGGAACGGAAATCATATTAGCTTGTGGTTGTTCAATTGGCATGGTCAAAGTCTGGTTTATATCATGCAGGTTCCACCGATTCACATCATAATTTAAAGGCCAAGCTTCAAGAAATTATTGAAGGAAATTCCATAACTTTTGCTCCATCATTGGTCCAGCTCTGCCTGGTTCTTACTCAATGTGCATATTGCAAATGTGTTCATCAATCCACTGAAGGAGGATATGAAGGTTTAGGAGTCTGCTAGACCAGATAACTTTTAGTAAAAAATGCATATGGTTATCTCTCTCGTGTTAATCTGAATACTTCTTGGGGAAAGATCATATGGAATGCTGCAGTTCCACCTTCAAAATCAATTATGTTTTGGAGATTAACCTATGGTAAATTTCCAATATACAACAAGTTGCGCTTAATGGGGTTGTATTTACCTTATTGTTTCGGTTTATGTTCGGGTTAGGAGGAAACCTTGGAACACTTGTTTTTCGGTTGCGGATATGATAAAATATTTAGAATTGGTTGGCGTCCAAGCTTGACAAAATCCCTCTGATAGAAACCAGGAAGATTGCAAGAAAGTCATGGTCAGTAGTGGTTCAACTCAGTGAAGAGTCATGGTTATTGATGCAGTAATTAATATGGCGTACTACATTTGAAATGCTATAAAACATAGTATAGTTTCAAAATATTTTCACGCATTGGAAGTCTGTTTCCTCTTCGACTGTTTCATCGAATTCAATGTCAAGTAACTTATATTCAAGACGGCCAACTTATCAATACATAGTTTTGTGGTTCTAAAAAACTTCTTGGCAAAAACTCACTCTCCTAGACAACAAATTGTTAAAGAGGTGATTTAGTACCCACTCCTGCATGATTGGATCAAAGCTAATACAGATAACGCTTCAGATGGAACATCTTTCCTGGCATCCTATAAGGGAATATTTAGAAACCATATGAGTGAGTGTAACACCCTCTAAACCCCCGCACAAATTTATGGCATAATCAGAGTAAATTAGCATGCATATCAAAAGAAGGTGTCACATGTATTTCAAAACCAACACAAAGTACATTGGGCATTGTGATGCGGTGGGAGAACTGACTTGAGGTTCTGTGTTTGTATTCGCAAATGTCACGGTTAGCAAGAGTCACCACCGACTTTTCTTTTATCCAAAAGGAAAGGTGAAAAAGCACAGGAAAGACCTTTGAGATGTTTTCTTGAGTTTGGGGGGTAGATTATGAAAAGGGAAGGTGCTAGCACCCTTTTCATCCATGGTTTTCCATGGGCTCTTAGTTACTTGCTTAGATCACTTGCTTTGGTTTGTTTGAAATGGTGTTTGGTGTGGTTTTGAAAGTATTTTGTAAAAGAGGCCATTCGTTTAGGCAATCTTTGTAATGATTCTTGTTCGTAAGAATGTATACAAAGATGTTTGTCTTTTGAAAATGTTTTCAATGTTTGTAAGATGTTTTTGAAATGTGTATGTGTTTGTTTTGAAAATAGCAAGGATTTTGTTTGAAATGGAGCAAGTAACTTAGAAGCTATCTACCTACTCAAATGTCTTTCTTATGTATTTCCTATTCCTTTGACATTGTTGTCTTACCATTGATTTGGTAAGCAACCCTATCTTTGGGTTTAAACGGGACGGGCGTGGGTCATCGTATAGCCATGATAGCAGTGTTGCAAAGTATCTTAGCATTTTTGAGGGGCCAAGATCATTTTGTAAGGCAACTTTTGAATAGCGTCATCGAGGGACTATGATCTTAAATTTGTTTTGTTTTGCCAAGATACTTCGCATGCGTAACATGGCCATTTTATTTTAGGAAACCAAGTGGGAGAAACCCTAAGGGTGCTTGTGTGCAAAGTGTATCATTTTCATGATTTTGATCTTGCATTTAGAGTTTTCTATTTGTTTTGTTTCGTTCTTGTCATACAAACCCTAATTACTAATTATGGCATATGAAAGCAATAAATTGCGTAATGTAAATATACTAAGCTATTACAACAATTTTATGGGAGGGGGGAATACAAGTTTGAATGGGAATTTACACAAATATAAAGCTAAATACATTATTACAACCAAATCGAATTTGCGCGAATTAGAATAAATATAATATAATATTTAAAATGTAATGCAATGTAATGTACATGTGAAGAGATTTTTAATGTCTTATTTTTATGTAAGAATATTTAAATTAAACCTAAAAAATATAAGAAAAAGATTTAATTTTTGAAAGGGGTTAAACCCTAATTTTTATTTAAAAGAAAATAATCTTTCTATATTATTATTTTGCGCTTTTTTTGTATGAAAATAATAAATAATATTGTATATAAATATTAAAAAATAAATATATGAAAAAAATAGGTATTTGTAAGTATGAAATGTAAAATAAAAATATTAAGTATATTTAATTATATTTATGAGTTTATTAAGAAAATAAATTATATTCTATCAAAATAAATTAATTTTTTATGTGAGAAATAATAAATAAAATAAAATAAAGGTGTAAAAATAATTAAATTATTTTTTAGGATTTTTTATCATTAAATAAAATAATTAAAAGTATTAAATATAAAAATGAAAAAAAATAAAATATGAAAGAGTTAGCTGGGGGTGTAATAGCAAATCAGTGGTAGTGCTAGCAAAAACAAAAAGTCCAAGAAGCAAAAAGCCCAATACAGGCTCGTCCCTGTCCTGCCTTCTCCTTCCTCACGTCATGGTCAGTTCAACCTGTAACTTCCTCATGCTTGCATAAAAATGAAAACTTATAACATGAAAAATGTAGCATTTGAACTCACGATTCCAACCATATAAATTATGTAATCTAACTATCAAAGATTAAAGAGAATTTTTAAATCCCTAAATCCTAACCTAAAATTTTCAGAGATTTCAAACTCCAAATTCTCTTAGCACAAGTAATATAAATGCAAGATAATGATATGTACAGCTTCGTCATGATGAGAACTACATTTTTTATTCACAGATCGTGGCTTGAGGTTGCCTGTACAAGGAGATAGAGTTTGAAAAATTACCTCCTTCAGCTGGAATGGTGTACGGAAATGCAGGGATTTTGATGGAGTCCTGATGATTGCTTGAGCTTCCTTGAGCTTCCCTGAACCTATTCTAACCCCTACCTTGCTCTGAAAGTGGCTAGAACTCCCTGACCAAGTCCAACTGCAAGCTTCAAAGTTAATAATGGCAAATGGTGAAACAGAGGTTACAGAACAAGGATGATGGTTTGGATTGACTAGGTATCAAGTATGTAAGATGTTTGAATGATCTAAACACAAAACGCACGAGCCAAATGGATGCTGGATATGTTTGTGTAGAAATTGTATGTTTTGGACAGTTTTTGGTGCTTTTCTTGCTCTCAGTGTTTCAGGCCTTTGCTTGGTGTTCTATGTGTTGTATATCCTTTGAATATTAGTATAGAAATGGTTTTAAGTTAGCTCTCTATCAGCTGTACAAGCCCTAGCCTTTTTGTAACTT